CTCTCCAGGGTCACCAGTTTATGAAAGCAAGCGTCCGAAGCCTGGAAGACAGCCGAACCCGTTCCTACCACCACGGAGCACATTCCCATTTTCTTAAAACTGTCTCCAGCCCGGCTCAACAATTTATTTCTCTAATTCTATTTTCATGAAAGCAGAGACCAAAGGAAATTACTGTGGATAAACAGATTAGCTGTGGCAACTTCATGCCAAGTATACAATGAGCATTTTGGCCTTCACATCCCAGACACCAGCACCGCTCTCCTACCAAGCAGGAGGCACAAAAGCCTCTTTGTGCTGCGTGACTGACACAGGCAACAAACCAAGCCATTGAAGGCAGGAAAGACAGCCAGCGTTACTGACAGCAGCTGTCTCTTCAAATGCATCTTAGACTGGAAAAGCATCCCTGGTTAGGCACCTGAACTTGAACTTCTCACAACTTCAGCCCAGAGCAGGGAACGCCCCGAGGCCGGCACAGGAGACAGCCGCTGCGTTAACAACCCCGCTTCCCTGATACCGGCATGACAGGGTGCAGGGGATTCCCTGTTCCCGAGGATCCCAGAAAGTCCCTCCAGCTGGTCATTATCATCACTACCTGCGTTCGTTCACGCCTTCAGGCGACCGATGCTCTGCTCAAGGGAGCTGTTTTCAATACAGCGTATTTCCATGCCATTAAGCAGCTCGCTGTATAGCTTTCGTAACTTGTTTATAGTTCAGCTTGTTTACAGAGAGAGGAAAATGAATCTTACTCATTGCCACATGCAGATGCCATTCATAAGCTCGGATATCTGAACCGGCATTAAAAAAAACAAAACACAAAGCAGTCACCCAATCCTTTATTGCCGGCACGTCAGATATAAGGCCTATTCTTTTCCACAGTCGGTGATTTACACAGTTGTGGTTAAATTGGTCTCCCACACTCCTCAGTCCAGCCTAAGCTGATAGCTTTACGTAATTCAAATCAGCTAAACTTCACAGACTACTTGCAAGTCATATTGACCAAAACCGTTCCACCTAGTCAAAGGGAAGCCGTCATATGACATTTAAATCCATTTTTCAAGCAAATGTATAGTGCAGAGTCAGTATCAGCTAGCGAGTTTTTGAGGATAAGGAAGCAGATGGAACTATGCACTCATCCAGTTCAACAAAATATAATCCATGAAAACCAGACTGCAGCAAAAGCAGTGCTGTGGGTGGAAATCCAGAGCTCTTAAAATATTCTAAAGCTACACAGAAATTAAAAGATATTTCCATAGTTAAAAAAAATGGAATTTTAGAAGCGTCACCTTTGAGACAATCAAGCTAGGTCAGAATCTAAAAACCACAGAATGCCTTCGGTTGTTCAGACCTGGCCAATCTGTAGGGTACAAATATTCTACCATGAAAACTACTTGAGGTTCTCCTCAGTAAGTTTTTGCTCAGAGCATGGAGTGGCACTGGAAAACAGCTGATGGACCACAAGCAATTCCCAACTATGTGCAGCCCCTTCCCTGTCAACAGAACAGTATTCCCAGACATACCATAAGCTTCATAGGTTTCCTGTGCCTCCCCGTGTCCATAATCATAGTATTCTGTGTCCCTGGAAGAGTAATTATGGTGGTTACATACAGTGCTGAAATCGTATTCCTAAACTGACACAACTTGCACAAACACTTGAAAAGCAAAGATGCCCAATATTGCTCATGGCTCTGGTGCGTCTGATCGCTGCTTTTACAGAACTGTCAAGGACACTGGGACACTCCCAAAAGTTATTTCCCAGGCACTCCTGGATTCCAGCAGAACAGGGCACTTTCC